TTTTGATTGATATTTTATTAATTTAATTGTTAAAAATAATTAATAATTAATAATAATTATTTAATATATTAAAATTAATTTATTGACAAACACTTTCTAACACCCCAATACTGTTTGCCCCTAGCAATAATACGTATGACCTAAACCACAACCTATCAATCTACTCTCATAGTGTGTGTTGGTTGAATGGTTTTTCTTTAGTTAAAATGAGTTATATAATAATAAAAATAACTATTCTTATCCCTTAACTCACCACGTAAAACCTCTTAATTATTTTCACATGACAGCCTGATGCAAATACAAATTTATCACTAGGTTACTAGGATTGTTCGCAAGAAGTTTGAACAATTTATGAAACATTTCGTTAGACATTGTAAAAGACTAAGAGGGCATTGCAGCAAGTTTTATTCGGTTATTTATTTATTTTTTAAAAAATAGGTTCGATTTCAAAGAATAAAAGAATAAAGATAAATTTTAAAGGAATTTGGGGACATCCATTTCGTTTGGTTGCATTTCCTGGGCAGTGGCTGTAGCCCTATTCTTACATGTTCTAAAGGTGTTGCAGGAGTTTTGCACTACAGGTAGTGGATCTCCACGGCACTATTGCACTTGCACAGAATGCAGAAAGCTGTCATTATCTTCCAAACAGAGGTTCGAAGCACAAACACATCTAACACAGCTTTTATTTTTTCTAGTGTTTCAGTGTGAAAACTACACCCCACTTACACAGGACACCCTGATTGACAAGTTTTTTTTCTTGCTGCAGGTCCATCTTAAATGATGATATAACCATTTATGTACTGTGTGAGATGAACTACTCGTAGTGCATTTACTTTTGTGTATTGGAAGATATATGAAATTATGAATGTATTGAAGTGTAACATTCTCTAAATTCGAGGTTTCAAGTTCAACGTTTAAAGTTCGAAATAAAAAAGCAGTAAGAGTTTGATGGCATCAAATAATCATTAAGAAGTACAATATTTTCACGGCACATTCACAGAGGGTATTTGTACAAATTCAACTTTCGTTTTGATTAAATCTTTCAATGTTGAGCAACACATGAAGAGAAATGGCATGAAGAGGGAAGTACAGGCTGCTAAAATTTAAACTGACGTTAATAACATCAGTCTAGCATTATCCATCCCTGAACTTACGTTCAAGTTAACAAAACATGATATAATTAGTTTGACGCCATCCTATCGCGGCAACATTTCCTATTCCTTCTGGTAAAATGAGAGAGCAAGGTCCGTATGTACAGAGAATAGTTGTGTGTCCACAAAAAGCTGTGATGAAAAAGCACATGGAAAGATTGGTACGTTTTCAACTATTGCTGGTAATGGCCTTGTGTTTTCATTACTTGCTAATGAAGTTGTATAAAACAGGATTTTAAAGAAACTCACCTTCATAAAAGGACGATCACGACTATGGAACGAGTCAATGAAACTCTCCTTTAAAAGCAAGGATACCTGGACAACGAAGGAAATCAGGAATTTTTTTTCAGAACTTAATTGAATTAATATGCGTTATCGTTCGGCATTGGAGAACTGTATTAATCTAATATATGATTATTTGGAGAAATACAAACCTTGTCCTTGTTGGACTGTACATTTGTAATTGTGTGTGACCGCATGTTAGAGCAAAGATAATCCAAATAAGATCTTAACACTTGCAGAAAACCTTTAGCAGCTTCAATCTATTTTGCAATCATAAGACACATGATAATGCATGTTAACAAACCACAGAGAATAACGGTGCCACTTTATTAAATGACTTTGAATAAACCATGATATTAGCATTATCCTCGTATGGCCCATCAATAAGATTTATGGATGCTGTAGAAACTGATATGCTCAGTGGGTGAACTGGGAGAAGATTTGGAGAATTATGCAAGAAGGTGCTAAAATTGACTGGGAAGAGTAAAGCTAAAGAGTTATGGATGGGAAAAAACCGAACCTGCACGTCTGTGCATTCATGCACTGGCCTTTTCTTCCCCAAATAACTTTCTCCAACGAGCTTTGCATGATAAGGACTTAAAGATGCATACAACTGCTTTTGTTTTGGCAGTTGTGGTATTGTAAGAGACTTTACCTAACACACCAAGCAATGAGAAATCAGACTGATGTTAAGGGGGAAAAAAATAAACACCATTAAGGACAAGCTAGATTGCAGAACAAAGCAACAATCCATTACCAAAGTAATGCTTTACGGAGTGCAAATTTGATTAATAACAGCAGTAAAATAATAATAAAAGTTAGATTCAAACCTGGTTCTTATTAGCATCAACAAGAATGGCATTGGTTAACTTTGACTGTACTTCACTGGTTTTGTTCTTTACACCAACCTGCAGGAGAGTTTTACTTTAGCATTGAGAACAGAATTTTAGAGGACAAACCAACTAGAAAACGAATGATGATTGTAGAATTTTTAAAATTACAATATTCCACAATATTGATGCAGAATATGATGATATAAATTGTTGCAATTCATTTAACTTCACCAAAAACTCATCTATTAAAAGACAATTTATCAGAGTCAAAGACTCAAAGCCATATGTGCCATCATACTTTATAGATGAACTAAACAGACAAATCAGCCAGAAGTCTGTATATGCATGTAAAAAATAAATAAATAATATACATAAATATAATATTGTGATTTGCCATCACTGTGTAACTCAAGCTTGATAATGGCCTAAGATGCTGCCGCAAACCTCTTTGCAAGGGAAATGCAGAATCACTATGATTGGACAGACCACAAGTTCGAAACTTACTATGTAAGGAACAGGTGCATCCAAAAAGTCCAGCATGTCATCTGGCAAAACCTGAAAATTTGTGCAGAAAATTACTAAAATGATAAATGGTTAAGAATGACAAGAAAGTCTCTAAGATACCAGGAGAGAGCATACCGGCATGAGCAGGCTTTGCCATTGGTAGGGACGAATCAGTGGAACAATTGACAAAACTGTGGCAGATAAGATGCCCTACATGAAAAAAATTTGAAATACAAATATTATTGAGTAGGTTTTATCCTTCCTTCTACTCATAGATATATCACAGAAGAAAACATTCATATTATTCCAATTTCAAATAGATTTTTGGAATATCATGTAGTGAATTGAAGCTCACTTTTGTTCTTGATTTTCTTTCCCTTTTTTTTTTTTTTTTTT